TGTCTTTTAATGAATACTCTTTGTCTCTTTGCTGTGACACCCACCAGTAAGTCTCTAAGGCCCCAGGCAAGATAAAGTATACTCTCCACTGTTTACCTTGTTATCAAAACCAACTAATATCAAAGCTATGTGTATATGCTATCCCATGAGGAGACTCCATCCAGACTTGTTTTGTTGCTGGGGTAGTCCCGTATCTGCAATGGTGTCTGCCTGCATGGTAACTCAGAGGAGAGATCCCTACATACACCTCTGAGTTAGTAATGGGTTCTTTGTTTTGGGTCTGGCAAGTGGGGAAGGCAGCCCAAAGCTTGTAGCTAAAGAATACCAGGAATTTAGGGGCACCTGGATGGCTCAGTCAGTTAAACATCCAACTCTTGATTTCTGCTTAGAGTCGTGAGATCGAGCCCCAAGTGGGGCTCCAAGCTGAGCACGGAGTCTGCTTAAGATTCTCTCTCTCTCCCTCTGCTTCTCCCCCTGCCTCCCATATGTTTTCTCTCTCTCTCAAAAAAATAAATAAATAAATAAATAAATGTCCCTGGAGGAAAGGAAAATCCCAGTGTTTTGGAGAAAGACGGGAAGGGAGGACATACTACATCTTAAAAACAAACAGAGGAAGCTGGTAAACCCAGGCAGGCACTGAAAGCTCAGATGCATCTTACAAAACAGGGACAGGGCCCCTTGAAGGGGGCTTCCCTCAAAACCGCCCCACCCTTTCCTCCCTCTCCCCCACCCCCAGCAGGAGAGTCAGGCCCTTCTTGGTTAGCTTTCCTGCAGATGACAGTGTGTTAAGCCTCTGCCTTCAGCACAGGTCATGATCCCAGAGTCCTGGGATTGAGCCCAACGTGAGGCTCCCTGCTCAGGGGGAGTCTGCTTCTCCCTTGCCCTCTGGCCCCTCCCCTGCTACTGCCCCCGCTCATGCTCTCTCTTGCTCACTGTCTCTCAAATAAATAAATAAAATCTTAAAAAAAAAAAAAAGCCAAATATAAAAATGAACTGCCCACTGCCAACTTGTGATCATATGAAGAAGCTAATGATGGCTCCACACACACAAATTAAAAGAAGAAAGGACTATGATGAAAGTGTTGTATAATTTTAAATATTATTAATGTCTTTAATGTTATATTGTCCTTTCACTTACAAGGCAAAAAGCTATCTGGCAACTTCACTGTCATGAGAAGCCATTTTACTAGGCTGTTAGCATTACTAAGCACAATTTCAAATACTTTGGTCCTAGCAGAACTACTCTCCCATTATAATTACCTAGACCAATAACCCTCTTAAAATGAGGTTTATAAGCCTCATTTTAAAGGGTAATAACATGTTGCCTTTTTTTGGATGAGACTTTCATTCTGCTGGAGGCTGTAGTCCATTCCCAAAGAAATCCAGGCTATCCTCACCTCACAGCCTGCGAAATAGGCGTGGACTTTTAATGACTTCTGTAAGATCCAGCAAGGGAGGACCCCACCCCGCCAGGGTGCCGCCCCACAGTGGTGCACCTGCACCAAGGGAGTCGGATTTGGGACTCCAAACCTCCTGTTCCCATGGACACAGAGATGGTGGCAGGGTGGGAAGGAACATGCTGGAAGAGGCCTGGAGGGAAAAACACACAGGCCTCATTTTCGCTCTTCCCCTCTTCCTCTCATGTTTCCACAGTAAAGCAGGTCTACCGTCTCTTTGTAGGTCATGCCACTCCTTACAAAACCCCATTTACAGTCCTCTTAATAACTTGTGGTTACTTTCTATTTGGGGCAGAAGTCAACAAGACAAAAATTAACACATTACATATTCGTCTGGGAGGCTCATGTGAAATACATCGGGTTAGGACAGGAGAGAGAGGGGAGGCCTGTTGACTCTACTTACACCCTTCCCCTTGCCTCGGTTCTTCCTCCTTCACCATCAGCTCCTGGACACCATCACTCCTGTTACCTCAGATCGCAGTGGTCCTTCTTGGATGTCAAGGGCACAGAGTCCAAGGGTTTTTATTTAGGGCTGTGAGAACATTGGTTTCCGTCTTGAAAATGTTGCCAACTAACTCACTCTCCAGAAGGTCAAAGCACACATCCACTGTCGAAAGCCTTCCCCGTGAATGAGGTGAAAGGAATTCTATTTATCATAACTTCATGGTAAAACAAGCATTTGCTCAGAAGCAGCCTGCCTTGCCCAGACATGCATTTTATTCTGATCCAGTTGGGCTGCCCTCCGCGCGGCTTCTCAGAAGGGTTGGCTACTCTTTGACGCCTTCCCAGCGTTCTGCACCATGCAGAAATCGAGGCTGATCAGTGAATTCTGGGCAACAGTCATGCATCTAGGTTTTATGCTGCAGACCCATGCTATCCAGAATGGTAGCCACAAGCCACAGGTAGCTATTTATATGAGTATATAAATTTTAATTTAAATTATGTAACTACTTAATTTTCATCAAATTGAAAATTTGATTTCTCTGTTCCATCAGCCACATTTCAAGTGCCCATATTAAATGGGGCCGTGGCTCCCCTCTTGGTCTGAGCAGATACAGAACATTTCCATCATCACTGGCTGGTCTTCATTTCCTTAATAGAAATGACATTTCTATTGTCAGCCACAGAAGGAATCCTATTCGCCTTCTTCCCATCTCATCATCTACATCCCCCATGAGACTGGGAGATTCTTTGAAAGCCCGGGTGGGGTTTTGTCACCGGGGCCTACCCTGGCTCCTAGTCCAGGACTCTACAGGGAAGGCACTCACAAATGTTTGCTAGATAGGGACAATCCCTTCTCTTGGTTTCCACAGCAGGCCCTACCTTGGTCACATTTCAACACCATTTCCCCCAAAACAGTTTTTATTGAGTTTTATTGCTTTTACAGTAATACAGAAACGGGATGACTAGGTGGTTCTGTTGGCTAAGCATCTGACTCTTGATCTCAGCTCAGGTCTTGATCTCAGGTTCATGAGTTCAAGCCCTGTGTTGCGCTTAATAAATAAAATTTTAAAAATTAAAAAAATAAATAAATAAAAGCTTAATAAATAAATAAATAAAAGTAATACAAAAGATAATAAAATCAACACATAATTGTCCCACCTATAGACAACCACTCTTAACATTCTGGGATATTTTCATTCATTTATTTAACAAATAGATATTTTTGTTGTTTACTGAGGTACAATTTGCATACAGTAAAATTCACCACTTTTATATGATATGTGTATGATGTGTGATGAATGTAATCGCCACCACATTCTCCCGAACATTTCTAACAGCCTCAAAATCCCCTCCTGCCCCTTTGTGATTAGACCAGTCTCCCCACCCCCTCCTCTGGCAATCAAATCTGATTTCTTATCCAGTAGTTTTGGCTTTTCATGAATGTCATACAAATGGAGTTGTACAGTAAGTGGCTTTTTAAGACGTACTTCTTTAGCATTTAGCATAATGCTTTTGAGATTCATCTGTGTTGTTGCATGTAAATATCTGTTTGTTTATTATTGCTGAATAATTTTTTTTTCTTTAAAGGGAGAGTGCACAGGGGTTGGGGAGGGGCAGAGAGAGAGGGAGAGAGACAATCTTAAGCATGCTCCATGCTCAGTGTGGAGCCCAACATGGAGCTCGATCTCATGATCCTGAGATCATGACCTGAGCTGAAATCAAGAGTCAGATGTTTTAACCGACTGAGCCACCCAGGAGCCCCTTGCTGAGTAATATCCTATTGTATGGCTATGCCCAATTCATACATAGATTTTTGTGTACATGTGTTTTCATTTCTCTTGGGAAAATTCCTAGAAATTGGATTGTTAGTCATACAGTAAGCATGTGATTAATTTTATAAGAAATTTGATAAGAAACTGTCATACCAGCTTCCAAAATGGCTTTACCAGTTTGCATTCTCACCAGCCACGGATGAGAGTTTCAGTCGCCCCACTATGTAGTATATTTCATTGTGGTTTCCATTTGCATTTTCCTGATGATGAATGATGTTGAACATCTTTTTATGCACTTGTTGTCAATATCTCTACTATGTGAAGTTTTTGTTTTATATCTTTTGCCCATTTTTAAAGATTAGGTCATTTGTTTTCTTATTACTGAGTTCTTTATGTATTCTAGATGCCAGTACTTATAGGAATGTGTTCTACACATTTTCTTATCTTCCCCTCGGCTTGTGGCTGGTCTTCATTTCCTTAACAATACTTTCTGAAGAGCAGAAGGTTTTTTTTTTTTTCTTTTTGAAGAGCAGAAGTTTTTAATTGTATTGAAGAACAAAGAAATATGTCTTAGTAACTGCCATACACCCAACTTTGATCAGCACGGGAGATACAATAAAGCTGAAATTTGGACTTTTTCTTTTTAGCAAAATTGGCATCCATTGGCTTCTAGCCTATTTTTTCACTATCTGACCATGAAAGTTTTCACATCATTAAATATTATCTGAGAATATGATACGTTATGTGTACATAGTATTCTCATGGCTATATCTTAACTATCCCTCTCTAATTTGGGATGTTGTATTGATACCAGTCAATCTAAAAAAATAACAAAAAGAAAGAGGAATGCATGATTGACATCCTTGTTCAGAAGTCTCTGCGCACAACCCCGCTTCCTTTCTTAGCGTGAATGCTTACGGTTGCAAAGGCTGGGGCAAAGACGTCGTCTTTGTTTTCTAGTTGTCTCTTCAGCAAGCCTACAGATGTCTTGAAACAAAAATCTTGACCTCCTTGTCGTTTCTGTCACATTGTAGGTGCACCATATATACTCGATGGAGGGATAGTTAGAAAGAAAAAGGATTGCCCTGAACTTCATCCTCTCCCCTTCCTCTGGCAAAAGAAAATGGGAGTTTCCCTCAGCTGTCTACCTTGCTTTCTGAGATAAAGGGACCAAGAAGAAAGTTTTCTTTGAAGAGAAAACTTGCCAAGGAGATGTGGATTCCCACAAAGCTCGGTGACAAGCCCTGTTGCTGCTCAGCAATGCCCTTAAGGGGCCCCGCCCCCTGCCCATATAAAGCCAGGCTGCACTGGGGCAGCAGCAGCTGGCACACAGCCTCCAGCCTCCGGAGCACCGTCCTGGCCTTGGCACTGGCACAAGCTATGGCAAATGAAGTGCAAGTCCTGCTCTCCCCGCTGAAAGGGGGGCATCCTCCTGCAGGTAGGCTACCCACCTGCCCTCTGCCGTCCTGCAGAGCGCACCGGTCTCCCTGCTGCCCCTCTTTCCATCAGCACCTGCAACAGGGGCTCCCCAACAGAGCCGAGGTTCTCAGCATTCCCTTGTCATATTAACGTCGCACGACCTCGTTGCCTCCTACATCTTAGAACTCTCCGGGCTTATGTATACACCACCTGAGGATTGGTCAAGCCCCAGTTGAATTAAAACCTCATTAGAAATGAAGGGATAAGGGATTCAGAGCTTGTGAAAGGGAAGAGCTAAGGTTGGACCTTCCCTCCTGGGCTGCAGGTAAGCAGCGAGGCATCCACAGGAAGGCAATTTACTGCCATGGTAACCTTCTTCCCAAGAGGAGCCAGCTCTAAGTCTCAGTCACCCCAAGATGACTGTGCATCCTTTGACTTCGGACCCAGGGAAACCAGCTTCCACACAGAGGACAGCAACTTTATTTTTCTCTCTCTTCTCAGGCTTTGGGGTTTGGCAGTGTTATCCAGAATGTAGTTTGCTTTGTCATCGAGCTGAGGAGCACTTTTTAATACAGACCCAAGCACTGGAGGGGGCTGACTGGGGAAGGTAGCCATCAAAGTATTTGGCAAAGGAGCCATAGTTTTCTCTCACTCTTTATTTTTCTTTTTCTTAACGTAGACTCTCTGTAATATGGAAGTTAACTTTATTGTACTTATTGTTCATATAGCTTGGCTGAGGTGAGCAGGTCTATTTTTAGCCAGTTTTTTTTTTTTTTTTTTAATTTTATTTATTTGTCAGAGAGAGAGGGAGAGAGAGCGAGCACAGGCAGACAGAATGGCAGGCAGAGGCAGAGGGAGAAGCAGGCTCCCCGCCAAGCAAGGAGCCCGATGTGGGACTCGATCCCAGGACGCCGGGATCATGACCCGAGCCAAAGGCAGCTGCTTAACCAACTGAGCCACCCAGGTGTCCCTATTTTTAGCCAGTTTTATGTTCTTTCAACTGTCTTCCTTCTCTTTTTCCTTAAGAAACATCTTAAAATCTTGACCACGTTGTTCTTGCCTTTCTCCATTGACAAAATTTATTTGTTGGCATAATGCTTTGGCACCTTAAGCCAAGGTTTTTTCAGTTATCTTTGCTGCAGGGGATGCTGGCAGGAATCACCTTCAGAAAGCTTTGAAAACGGACACAGAGGTTCGATAGCTTTGTGGCAGACCGCTCACCTGAAAAGAGTCTGAATTTTACTACTAATTCTGAGCTTTAAGTTCTAGGCACTGTGCCCCGGTTTCCTGTGGCAGACTCCTGACCTTTTATACTTGCAATTGGATTTGGCAATAGTTAACATTATCTGTATTTAAAGTTAATGATGCTGGGGCGCCTGGGTGGCTCAGTCAGTTGAGCGTCACACTCTTGATTTCGGCTCAGGTCATGATCTCAGGGTTGTGAGATCAAGCCCCATATCAGGCTCGGAACTGGGTGTGGAGCCTGCTTGGGCTGCTCTCTCCCTCTGCCCCTCCCCACCTCTCTTAAAATAAATAAACAAAACAAAATAAAATAAAGTTGATGCTAACTAATGGTCAGGAACTGTACATGCAAATTATTAGAAGAAACATTCATTACAGAGAGGGAAAAAAAAAGAATACATTCTCTTCCCACCTCTTCCACCCCAATCCTTCATGAAATGGAGAAGCTAAAACCTGATTCACTAAATTACATTTATGCACAAAGAACACGAGATAAACTTAACCAAATGAAAGTTTGAATGAAACCACCAGGAACTTTCTGTCCCACCGCTAATGATTGCTAATTACTCTGTGTACATAGCACACCATGACTCCATCAAGCATGTCACAATGCCCCTGGCATGACAATTAATTATTATGAACTGTGACACTACAGATAAGAGGTTTGGGGTAATTAGGATGGAGATGAAGGCAGACTTTTGCCTCCCCACGGAGAGCAAGCAAACAAAGAAACCTCATTCTTCAGCTTGTCTTGCTACATATTTTAAGTCTGAACCAGTTTGCTGTGGTGCAAAATGTTATTGATGGAACAATAATTCATTGCCAAAATGCCACTAAATCTTCACCTGATTTTTATAAGCAAAATAGAGATCCCTGAAAGTGGGCAGCAGGGGCGATATGGCGGGAAGGTACTGACACCACCTTTGGAATCGGGCAGAGTCTCGGCTTACCCTCTGCCTTCATTCCATACCCCTGGCTGCAGAATCCTCATCTCTTTTTTTTTTTTTTTAAGGTTTTATTTATTTATTTGACAGAGATCACAAGTAGGCAGAGAGGCAGGCAGAAAGAGACGGGCAGGCAGGCTCCCGCTGAGCAGAGAGCCCAAATGCGGGGCTCGATCCCAGGACCCTGAGATCATGACCTGAGCCAAAGGCAGAGGCTTTAACCCATTGAGCCACCCAGGCGCCCCAGAATCCTCATCTTTAAAGCAGCGGCTAATAAACAGCCTCGATACTATTAGATTGTTATGATAATTAAAGGAGAAAACCCATGTAAAGCAGCTGACACGTGAATGTTAGTCGCCTTAAAATGCAGGCCCTAGGGGCGCCTGGGAGGCTCAGTGGGTTGGGCCTCTGTCTTCGGCTCAGGTCATGATCCCAGGGTGCTGGGATCGAGCCCCGCATCAGGCTCTCTGCTCAGCGGGGAGCCTGCTTCCTCCTCTCTCTCTGCCTGCCTCTCTGCCCACTTGTGCTCTCTCTCTCTGTCCAATAAATAAATAAAATCTTTAAAAAAAAAAAAATGCAGGCCCTAGTGAAACACACCTCTGACAGAAGGAATGATCCTTCCTGGTCGCTCGCAAGGGGTTCTGATGTTCACGGCAGTCAGAACAGAAGGGAACTGAAGGAAATGGACAAGATAAATGTGCTTGCCTCCTCATAGTTGAAAATGAAACCTCTCAGAAATCAACCAGCTGTCACTCTTTCCCACCTCCGTGTGGAGTGCTTAGTCACGTTTCTTTTTTGTATATTAATATACATCTCAGTTTGGTTAGCCCTGGTTATCAGTTTGTGCTGAGAAACAAGACTACATTGAGCTTGAGGTGGTCTAGGTGCTATTCAGCTTAGCTTTGGATTTTCTGCTTTTTTGTTTTGCCTTGCTCTCAGTTTTAGACGAAACCCATCACATGAATGGCCAAAAATCTGTGAGCGGAAGGTGATAGAAGGAAGCGAAGTACACAAGGAACTAGAAAGAGCAAGAGTTCCGAGGTTTTCTGTATTTCTTGCACGTTGTAACTGGGTGGGGGGTCACTTTGAAACCCCCAGAGAGAATCAGTTTTCTGGCTCACTAATGAGAGAGGGAAGTTTGGAGACATGCGCAAGTGTGAATCTTATACAGAAAATGAGGGGGGAGCCATAGCTACAAAAGGGCCCGGATCATTTAAAATAGAATAAACACCACAGGCTTCCTTTTCTCAACTCCCGTCTGCTCAAGTCAATGTATGGGGGTTGATCTGTGAGGCTCAAGGAGAGGTTGTGAGACCCAGTCCCCCAGACATCACAGGGACAGGGGTTTGGATGACTGCAAGACCAGCTGCTTTCCTAGACACGGCCGCAGCCCTGCAGACCGGTGATGCACTGTCCTTGTTTCACAGAGGAGCAAACTAAATGTCAGCAAGGTTGAGGGACTAGCCCGAAGCCATACAGCTAGTGCGGGCAGTGGGGCTGAGATCTGAAAATAAAGGGGGCCCCATGCTCCCCTGCTCTAGAGCCCTCTCTCTTTACTTCACCAACTTTTCCTGACTTTCCTTTTGGGTCTTGATTGACATCTTAAAATGGGCTGACAAACTGACTCTAAATGCAAAGTGAATGTTTTATGCACATCTCAACTTTTAGTTAAAATCTTCAAATATAACAGCTCGGTCACAAGGCAGCGTGTGCACAAACCTTTGTGTTATTCAGCCTTTTCCCGTCCATTTTCCACTGATTCGTGAAAGAGAAAAGCTTCTTCTGCGGGCAGATGTGTCTTTCTTTATCTTGACTATCCTCTACCAGAAATGTTGTCTGGAAGATCTTAACTGGAAGATTATCATATAGCATCCTAAACTCAAGTGCCTATTTTTGCAAGGTTATAAACTACAAAAGCAGCCAGAAGAGTATAATGCTTGCTCAGCAAAGGTTCATTTTCCCCACATAAATTTAGATTTTCTAATGAAATTATCCAGAAGGGCATCTCTCTCTTTTACATTTTTTTAATCTCTAGTTCATTTTGCATAAAGTCTTATCTTATGTATTTGTACTCAACTATTAAAATGTTAAAATCAGTTCATATTTTACCTTGCCCAATTCCGATTGGTCCTTCTATAGAAGTTCAAAAGGCATTATAGTCCCAAACATGGAATTGTGTAAATCACTACAGCTTTAAGTAAACTAAGTTAGATACAGTGAAACTTCGAAGAGTTCTCATGAGTTGGTCCTACCTGGTCTATCGAACATGGGCAGTATCTGATTGTGTCGGATTGTAAATATTTATTTACAGTGGTTTATCTCAATTCTGGGAGACCAGTGTGACTAGTGTTCCCAGCAGAGCTTTGATGATGACCCTCCCACAAACCGGTTCCATCTGGTTCAGTCACCCCAAGTAGTGCGAGGAGCCTTAATCTATATCTTAGTATGTCCATGTAGAGTATGGGGATATTATTTTCTGTGTCTTTCTGCTGTATGTGGCTGACCAAGCAAATTACCTACCAGAACAAGTTTGACACAAGAACTGTGCTCTGGAAATCCAAGGTGTGTGTGGTTTACCTATGTCTCCTAAATCACTGAATTAGAGCATAGAGCCCCATCAGAGAGGATTCAAAGACTCCTGGATGAAAGTAGGAATCTTCTGGGAGGATTTTTAATTTCCCTTCAAATCTCTCTGTCTTATTATTCTTAAGAATACATTCTTCAATTTCTTCTGGCATTTACTTCTCTGTTAAGTGCCTTATATTCTTTCCAAAGGGAGGAAAGTGATTTTATTTTGGAGGCAAAGACTTAATGATAAAGATCACCTACTTCAGCTTCCATCAAATTCCCCCAGGTCCTCCTAAGATGTTCATGGCAGGGGCACTTCTTGAACACACTGAGATCCAAGGGACTTACTGTTGTACTAGGCACCAACTTCCCTTTGAATAATACAAACTAGCCAGGCTAGTAGCCAGGCTCTACCTTTCTGGAACATTTATCCTTTGGTCTTCAGTCTCTCCTCTGGAACAACATCAAGTAAATACAAGTAATAGCAATTACCATAAACCAGGTGCTCATGTCACCTCTATTGTCTAGAGTAACCTGAGCAATTATTCTTGTTGAAGGATGCAGAAACTGAGTCTTAGGGGGATTTAAGTGTCTTGCTCAAGGTCCCAGAGCTCAGTAGGGGTAGAACTATCTGACCCTACATGAAATTTCCTCACCAGCATGGGTGCCTGGGTGGCTCAGTTGGTTAAGGATTTGACTCCTTTTTTTTTTTTAAGATTTTATTTATTTATTTATTTGACAGACAGAGATCACAAGTAGGCAGAGAGGCAGGCAGAGAGAGAGAGATGTGGGGAAGTAGGCTCACTGCTGAACAGAGAGCCCGATGTGGGGCTCGATCCCAGGACCCTGGGGATCATGACCTGAGCCAAAGGCAGAGGCTTTAAGCCACTAAGCTACCCAGGCGCCCCTGCATTTGACTCTTTTTTTTTTTTTTTTAAGATTTTATTTATTTATTTGACAGAGATCACAAGTAGGCAGAGAGAGAGAGAAGAGGAAGCAGGCTCCCCGCGGAGCAGACAGCCCGATGTGGGGCTTGATCCCAGGACCCTGGGATCATGACCTGGGCCGAAGGCAGAGGCTTTAACCCACTGAGCCACCCAGGCGCCCCTGCATTTGACTCTTGATCGCAGTTCAGGTCTTAACCTCAGGGTCTTGATCTCAGGGTGGTGAGTTTGAACCCTCTGTTCCAGGCCCCACACCTGGAATCTACTTAAAAGAAAAAAAAAAAAAATTCCTCACCAGAAAACCATTCCTCCTCCACATGATAGCCCCTCAGATCTTTGGAGATGCCACCTACATTCTCTTGAGTCTATCTTCTTCAGAAGTGACGTTTCCATACTCTCTAGTTCCTCCTGTGATGTGGCTCCCTTCCTCACACTGGCCCATCTCCTCTTGACTTGTCTAGGTTGTCAAGGTTTTTGCAAATCAGTAGCACAGAACTCAACATTCCAAGGGGCATCTCATTTTTAACTATAGCTTATTTTAACTATTAACAAGTTTGCTTCTATAGTTTGATAATAATCAGTCTAGGTAGAATAAATACATAGAAACAACAGCATCAGGGAAAACACAAGGAATATTAATAAGAAAATAATTACAGCACTCCATATTTCAAAAGCACTTGTCACAGGGAGAAAGAAAAACACAGTTGGGAGGGGTACTGAAGGCCCAACCTCTAGACCTCCTGTTTGGCTCCTCTCAGCACAAGAGTCAGGGGCTGTGAACACCAGCCCCTTCACACAGAGGCGCTCCCTCCTCCGTCTTCCTGGGAAGGCCATCCCGTGGTTTATTTCACATCTACATTCTGTGGCTGTTCAGAAGATGTTTTCTCATCATTTGATTTCTGTTGCTGATTACTCTGCATGCCTTTTTCTCATATAATATGTGTCTCTTTCTGGGTATGCATGAATTTAAAGCAGACCATGTGTAAAAATAGCATTCTTTTCCTAGACTAACTCTAATACTGCAAAATTCTCATGAGAAGCTTTTATAGTCAATGAAAAAAACAACTTGTTGATTCAAAATGACCAAGTGGAGTTTATTCCATGAATGCAAGAATGGTTTGATAGTAAGACAACCATTAATCTATCTTTATAGATTAATATCTGTTAATATAAGTAACCACATGAAGGATAAAAATCATGGATCATATCCATGAATGCTAAAAAGGCATTTGTAATTTTCAAGCCCAACAAAATAGTAATAGAAGAACATTTCCCTAATTTGAAAATATATATATATATATATTACATATACATATATGTTTTTGTGTATATGTGTGTGTATCCACCTAAGTACACATCATATGTAATGAAAAAATTAAAAGCAATCCCTTAAAACTTATTATAATGAAGATGTCAACCATCATTGACTATTTAACATTATTCTACAGGAAGTAGTACTATAATTCTTTACAGGTTATATAATGTTTTTTACCTGAAAAACCCAAGGGAATCAACAACAACAACAAAAATTATAAACAGTAAGAACTCAATAAGGTCTGGGTATAAAGTCAGTGATATAAGAACAACAATCTGTCAGAGTTATAATTGAAGAATTGACCCCATTTACAATAGCAGCAACCAAGGTAAAATGCTTAAGGAATAAACTTGACAATAAATGTGTAAGATTTATTCAAACCAGTTACTGAGGGACCCCAAAGAAGATGTGAGCAATGGACATGCACACCATGTTCTTGAATAGAGAGTCACCAGAAATATAAACACATGAATTTTCCCTTTAAAAAAAAAAATCTTTAAATTTAAAGCAAGACCATTAAAAAAATGGACAAAAAAATTGAATAGCTCATAAAGAGAAAATAGAAATGGCTTCTAAAACACAGAAATAAGCTCAACCTTTAGTAAAATAGAAGAAATGCAAATTAAAACACGTTATCTTTCTTTTTTAACTTCCTGGTCGACAAAACCAAATATTTCCCAGCTCCCATTGTTGTTAAAGTAGGAGGAAAAAAATCACTGTCATCTTCATTCCTGAGGCTGTAACTGGTACAGCCTCTGGGAAAGGCGATTTGGCAAGTTGTAACAAAATTTTAAATGCACATACCATACCCTTCAGAACTAACAAGATCACTTGTAGGAATTTATCCCACAGGTATACTTGCACTTGTGCAAAATTATGCGTATAAAAGGATATTTGTTGCAGCATTGTTTGTGACATCAATGAATTAGAAACATCTGAAACGTTTAACATTTGGGAATTGGTTAAGTCAATACAGGATGTTCACATAATGAAAATGTAAAGCAAATGTTAAAAAGAACGACACATTTCTCTATATATAGATAGGGAATTTACTCCAGAATGTATGATTGAATGAAAAATATAAATAAACAAGATGTAGAACAAGGTGTATCTTATGCTGCCATTTAAACAAGAGTAATATGTGTAGTATCTGGGGATGAACACATAGGACATGTCTAACATTAGTAGTATCTAGGAGATGAACTAGGGCCTGGAAATAATGGTGGGAGAGAGACTACAGACTCTTTCACACTTCTTGAATTATGGGCCTTATGCATATTTCACAAAATCAGCAATATATGTAATAATTTTTAAAGAACAGTGATAAAGTCAAATTTCTAAGTGCATTGAGAGATAGAATAGGTTTTCCTTACTTTTCATTTTATTGGACCGAGCTTTGGAATTTGCCAATTTGACATTTCCATAAAAAGAATTAACAGGTTCAAACAAATCAATGTCCATTTAGCTTTTTCTTATTTGAGCTTGTCAGATTTTAGATGTGCAAATTTCCTGGGAACAGAGAGAAGTATTTGCTTTGACTTGCAATCTGAAATGGGTTTCCTTTTCAAAAGTTGATTTCATCTGACATTGTTAAACACTTGAATTGCTGTTAGGTCATCTGTAGCCTAATTAACACTAATTGATCTCCTGAATGGCAGGATTTTTAATGTAGTTTAATTACTCATTAGAACATCTGAGCTTGGCCAATGTCCGGAGATTTGGGGTCTGGGATGGAAGGTGGGGTTCCGGTGGGATCAGAGGCATCTCTCCTGAATTAAATGGCTGTTACCATCACATGCCCTGACTTTTGGCTCATCTCTCAGAATCTGTGCTTTTGAATGCTTTAGTTGGAAAGAAAAAAAAAGTGCAAGGCTTGCACAAACTTTAATCTTATGGGAAAACAAGAGGGTCACGTTGTAATTGTCTGTGACTATCATAAAAAGCATAGTTGGTTTGATAACAAGAAAAAAATGTTTTTCAGTGAAATGCCTAAGGGAGTATGTTGCTATTCTTCTCCCCAAACCAAAGGTGTAGACCTCTGCTACTTTTCTTAACCTCAGTTCCTGCTCTCTGAACATAAACAAGCAGACCTCAGCCCTTCTCCGCTTCCCCACCTTGTCTGCCTAACACAATATTTTTTCTTCTATTCAGTTCAAGGTAACGTTTTATTGTGTTGTTTTAAATAAAAGTTTAGCTCTTCAAAAAAAGTAAGTTCTAAAATTCTTTTCAAATCTAAATTCATACCTTGAATAAGAAAAGCAAGCCTACTGTTTTTATTCTAATCACAACTCCTGTGTTGATGCTTGTAAACAAATCTGTTTTGGTTTTTTTGTTTGTTTGTTTGATGCTTGTTTGTTTATAGTAAAGGCTGGAGGAATGCGAATTTCCAAAAAACAAGAAATTGGCATCCTGGAGAGACATACCAAAAAAACAGGATTAGAGAAAACAAGGTAGGGATTACTCAATTTCTTCTCCTTCATCACCTCAAGGAGTTTTGAGCGACTGCTTCCAGAAGTCAGAGGCCTCCCTGAATTTTACGATAAACCAAGGCTCCCCAGGCCTTTACTGAACAGGGTTAGAGCCAGCCAGCTGAGGAGTGGGGACAGGGGCTAAAGATGAAAGGCACATTCAGGTGAAAGGTTGCTACCTTCTAGAAAACTCTCTCTGGGCCCACTCATTACCCACATCCTCCTCCTCTCTGCAGCCCTCCCAGCTCCCTTGTACTTACAAAGCCCAATCCTGAGTGCATCCAAACCTGACTCATGTTCCTTGATCCTATTTTCAAATTAGCCTTTATAAAATAACGTCCCAAGGCTGGCCCTGTTTTCATAATATGCTTTCTGCTGTAGCAAATCTTCTGAATTAAAAATAAATGGTTTTTTGGGGGGTGGGGTGGGTGGCGGTTGTTTTAAATCCATCACTTAATTATTTAGAAAATAATGGTCACGATATTCGGCATAGCCAGAAGGCATAGAGATAACTGAAGTTGGTCTCTCCCTGCTCTTTTTGCTGTGACCTTGACAAAAGGCACAGCTCAGCTGAGAGCTGTGGGCTGCGGAGGTGCGCAAGTGGCCCAAGCACGGGACTGTGGTTAAGGAAAATGACTGTGTTGAAAAAGAAAGAAACGTGCAAAACTCCAAGGAGGTGATGGGGACACTTCAGAGACAATTTCAACATGGTTTCTACAGATGAGTTGAAGAGTGATTCAAACGGAGTCAGTTAGAGGACGTTCAGGGATGCGTAGGGAAGTGTAACAGTAGTCTCAGAAGGGAATGCAGTGGGAAATAGACTGTGGAATTTCTCTGGCTCTTTCATATAAAATTATTTTGAAATCATTTTTAAAGTTTTCTTCCCAGTTTCCGGGAAGAGAATTTTCTGAGGATTTGTTCCACTTTTAAAATGAAATGCGCATTGGCCCCATTACCAGTTAAGTTTTTTGTTTCTTCTGATATCAGAAAATAATTGCCACTCAATGAAAGCCAAGGCTGTAAATCCTCAGCGGCTCACCCAGCTCTAGGACAATTCTTAGAACAGAGAAAGCCCTTGAAACGACACCAGACTGTTGTTGAACTGCAGGCTGGTTTGATTCTGTTACTAAAACCTGATCAAGCATAAGCCCTGTTTATGGTGACCCTGGTTAGCATGCCTGGGCCAGGGGCTGGGGAACTCAAAAGTCATGGCTTGGAAATGACATCCAGTTGGCAGCCAGTAGATGAGGCATTCGTTCCTCTGCACCTCAGGAAATGGGGACTCAACTATGAATTCTGGCATCAGCCAAATGTTGTGGGAAGAGCTGACCAGAGAGTAATAAAGTGGAGATTGGAACCCTCTTAAAAAATTCAGTTGTTGTCTTATAGTCATTCAAAAATGAGAATGGGGGAGGGGTGACACCCAGGTGGCTCAGTTGGTTAACCGTCTGCCTTCAGCTCAGGTCATGATCCTGGAGTCCCAGGATGGAGTCCCGCATGAGGCTCCCTGCTCAGCAGGGAGTCTGCTTCTCCCTCTACCCTCCTCCCCCTCTCATGCTCGCTTTCTCTCTCTCTCTCTCTCTCTCTCTCTCTCTCCCAAATAAATCAATAAAATCTTTTTAAAAAATGAGAATGGGTCCACAGCAGAACATAAACAGCAGGAAATAGCTCCACCTCTCTATTGCCCTATTCACTAGCATCAATTATAGGTATGGGGGTCCGATGTGTGTAGGATTTGGGGGCCACTTTAAAGAGAAGTAATGAAACATCATGGATATGAAAGGGCTGGGCACTGGCCTGACCGTGAGGGGGAAGGAGCCGGTGCAGGGCGAGGCCCTGAACCTGGAGCTTCATTCCCTCCACCCTCAGTCTCCTCAGCTGTTGACATGCCTGTGCTTCGGGAGTGCGTGCAGGAAATAGGAGGTCCTCATTTTCATGGACAAACATCCTTCCTTACATCTTCTTGGAGGATGGCTTTTGCAAAATGTATCAGAGAAAATAAATTTCTAAGTATCATCCATCTATGTCCATGTCCTAATAACTTCCCCTCACCAATGCCAACCATCCAGGGGGAAAAAAAATGCCAAATGCAAAGTTTCCATCAAGAAGCTGTACAAGCAGGCTCAGCCCTGATTGACGCTCTCCTACAAAATAAATTGGCCCGAGAAAAAGAAGCCAGACGCAAAAGAGCCCATGCTGTGTGATTCCTTTTATGAAGTACAGAAACAGTCGAAACTAATCTGCGGGGCTCTAAGTCAGGGGAGTGGTTATTCCTGGGGGCGGCTGGTTTGGCTAGTTGTGAAGAGTCACCAAGCTATATACGCCCATGGAAAGATGAAATAAAAATACACCAATAATAATAACTTGGCCTACAAAGATTTTTACAGCACACGGACACACAAAAGCAGAATTTTTTTTTCTTCTGGATACTGCCAAGCACAATAATAGCTTAAAGGCCAAGTAGACAGTCGCTGTAGCAATCATTTAACGTCCTTAGTAGGAAAGTTTTTGGGTCCTATGTGAAATTTTGTTTCATCTTTACAGTGCCATTGCAAGTGTTGCCAAACTCCAGGCCATGGATGCTCTGAATGACACGCTGGAGAAGGTGAGGCGGGGGTGTGAGTGAGGCCCCTCATGGGACGCTCCCGGTCAGGATTTATCCAACAGTCAGGTCGAATGAGTGAACAAAGCTGAGCGCTGAGCTTTTATCCAACTCAGACATTTGCCGTTCTTGTGGAGGACTCCACTCTCAGTCCAAGGAACACAAAGAGGTTTTGGTGAGAAGACCTGTTTCTCCCAAGTTCCTAGTGTCTATTTAATAAATCATCTCAAAAATAAGACAGAAAACAAGGCAAGAATCATGACACTGAAGTGGCAGAGTTGTACTGTGACATCCCGAATATTTCTCAGAATCATCGGCATGTTTTTATAAAAAGGCAGCCTGTGGATTGGGACTTGAGCAGTGCGGGACCTTGCTACCCACCACTTCTTACCCACAAGGCAATATTTGATTTGAGGTGAAAGTGGGTGGCGGACAGTTGCACAGGTTAAGGCTGGAGGAATGCTCAGCACTGGCTAGGTTTATCCAGGAAAATCTGTTCGTGCAGGTGGCTGGCCATTGCTAAATTTATTCTCTATCTTGTATTTCTTCTAAGTAGCTCCAGAAACTCGGAAAACTCTTACCAGATTAACAGTGGTTTGGTTTTGGATTTACTAGTTTGTTTTTGAATTTTGTAGGTAAACTAAGTGAAGGTCCTTATTCTACCCCGCTGGGGCAGATAATTTGCATTGAAAGCAAGGAATAACCACTCTGCTGCTCTCCTGTTAATGGAAGGGACAGAACTGTGCATAATTTATAGATGGAAGACTGTCACTGCCAAAATCAGGGCTCTGGAAAAGATGGGAGCAGAAACTGAGCAGCTAGACCTCTAGGGGACTCCGTTTGGTAGCGGCTTCTCTACTTTATTGGTATGACCTTGAGCAAATTACTCATACTGTGCCTTAGATAAATTATTTGTAACATGGAGATAAGGAAGGGCGCCTGGGTGGCTCAGTTGGTTGAGTGTCTGACTCTTGATCTCCGCTCAAGTGCTGATCTCAGAGTCTTGATCTCAGGGTCACAAGTCCAAGCCCCGTGTTGGGCTCCATGCTGGGCATGGAGTCTACAAAAAAAAAAAAAAATGATGATAAGGAAGCGTATATCCTTCACAGGGTTGTTGTGTGGAATGAATGAGTTTGTACGTGTGATGCTTCTAAAACAGTGCCTGGCACATTGTAACCTGTTTGCACTCTGGTTAGTAGTACTGGTTCTGTGACAGCAAAATAAATAGATGTGTCTGAGGTCCACGGGATGTATCAAGGCAGATGGTACTAAGCAGATTTTTTTTTAAAGTCATCTCCATGCCCAACATCAGCTGAAACTCACAACCTCGAAATTAAGAGTGGCGTGCTTTACTGGCTGAGCCGGCCAGGTGTCCCAGTCCAAGGCGAGATCTTGATTATAGGCTACAGCTACAAAGCCTTCTAATGTGAGGGGCTTGGTTCTCCCACAAATAGATTTGAGGTGATGTCATAAACAGCCCTCTGCCTCCCTGGCTTTAGAAGAGGGGCTGGGATGAATGTGCCAAAGCAACACAGGCTGCAGGCTTCTGCATCCCACGTCCTCCACCTGCCCACCATACGCCTCTTCCTCGGGGGCCACGGACTGGGTGCACTCGTAAATGGAACTGGAGGGATTGGACACAGTCCTCTAGAATATATGTTAACCCAAAATAAAATGTTTAAAGGGAGTGGTCAGTAGAAGTTGATTATGCTATACATTTTTTAAAAAAGATTTTATTTATTTATTTGACAGTGAGAGAGGGAAAACAAGCAGAGAGAGAGGGAGAGGGAAAAGCAGGCCTCTTCCGAACAGGGAGCCCGAGGCAGGGCTTGATCCCGGGACACTGGGATCATGATCTGAGCCAAAGGCAGACGCTTAACAGCTGAGCCACCCAGGCACCCCTATGCTATACATGAGTTACGGTGCCAGAGTCTATATTGTTTTTGATAGACTTCTATGCTTATGTCTTGACATAGAGGAGTTCTTTCCCTTTCAGTTAAAAATATCACTTCCTTATTTCACAGATTAAAAGAAAAATCAACAATAATAACAACAAGTTGTATTTGTAAACCACAGGAAAACATTGAGATGGTGTGTTGTTACAAATATTTTTAACAGCAACTGTACCTATTTAAAAAAAGAAAAACACAATTTTAACTCTTAGTTCAATGTTTACTGCTGTAGGGTTGTGGCTAAGAGTACAGAGTTTACTAGTTAGAGCAGTGCTGACATCAGACATCAGATGTGTCTCCTGATGGCTCTGTCACTCAGATTTCCTCCCTTTCCTATGCCTCTGGTTCCTCATCTGTAAATGGGAATGTGGTTAATAGGATCCAGTTCACAAAAATGTTGTGAGAATAAAACAACCTTATGTAATATACACGAAATACTTAGCAGAGCCAAGTGCAGTTCGCCCTCATAAATGTTAGCTTCTATTCCCGGGCAAGCATGCTACAGGACCTCACTTGGAATTCTAGGCAAAGGATAAAAGGCCAGCAACAAAATCAAGTCCCAAGATCACCATATATGACTATCTTGAGTATGGTAATTGGTGGGATCCATGTGTTTTCTTACCACTAAAAAATCCCTCCTGAGTCCATAGTTCAACCTGAAGCATAATAAGATTTTTTTTATAAGAGAGAGGGAGAGAACACAAAGGGTGAGAGGCAAGGAGGGAAGTACAGAAGGAAAGAGAATCTTAAGCAGATTCCGCACTACGCTAGGGCTCTGTCTCTTGACCCCGAAATCAAGAATCCAAGGCTTAACCCACTGCGCCACCTAGGAGCCTCTTAAGATTTTATAGTAAAGGTCAACTTGGGATGGAAAGACGTTTTAAAAATAGATCTGTTGAGATCTGTGGTTGTCAGGAGCTAGGGGTGAGAAGAGGGTTTGACCAAAAAGAGGAGGAAATTTGAGGGTTGAGGGTTCTGCCTCTTAATTTTGGTCACAGACTGTATATACTTGTGAAAACTCATAGAACTGTACACTAAAGGGGTATATTTTACTGTAAATAAATTATACGTTAATTTTGGGGCGCCTGGGTGGCTCAGTGGGTTGGGCTTCTGCCTTCAGCTCAGGTCGTGATCCCGGGGTCCTGGGATCGAGCCCCGTGTCGGGCTTTCTGCTCCGCAGGGAGCCTGCCTCCACCTCTCTCTCTCTGCCTGCCTCTCTGCCTACCTGTGATCTCTGTCAAATAAAAAAAAAAATTATACGTTAATTTTAAAATGAAAAATGCATAAACTATATACTGCCTCATACCAAAAAAATAAGATACATAAAAGATAGAGAAATGTAAGTATAGATATCTACTGATGGATTTTCACCAGCATTACCATTCCCCCACAGTATATTTGTCATGAAGACCTAACAATATTTAATTGGCCAGAAGAAATAAACTAGCAGAAATGAAGGTCATATCCTCTGCATTTAGAAACATTCATGCCCTCAGCTAGAGTTATGTCTGGTCCCAAGAACCCATGTTAATTCTCATACCAATGCAAGAATTTAAGAGTCTAAGGCAGTGGGGCACCTGGGTGGCTCAGTGGGTTAAGTGTCTGACTCTTGATTTCAGCTCAGGTCATGATCTCAGGGTTGTAAGATCGAGACTCACATCACCTCCACGCTGAGCATGGACCCCACTTGGGAGTGTCTGTCTCCCTCTCCCTCTGCCCTGTCCTTCACGCACATGTGCATTCTGTCTCTCTCTCTCTCTCTCTAAGAAAAAAAAAAGAGTCTAAGGGAGTAAGAGGACAGTCTTATTCATAGGATTTCATCAACCACTTACACATGGCAAGACATTTCTATCCACATGTCACTCATCCCTGGATACCGTGCTTTAAAACTGACCTAGGGGTTGAGATGTAGGTGATTGAAAAACAATCCCCCAAAGCCTGTAATTGTATGAATCTAGGTGGGAAGCAGCCCGAAATTTTCCCTTCCCACTACTTCCCCCAACTCTCCTCTGCACACAGAACTCTGTCTCCCACTACCTTTCTCCTTGCCTCCTTCCCTCTCCAGATAGCCCTTCCTGCCTCTTCCAGCCCTACTTAATGAGAAAACTCAGGTTGCCGGGTGACAGGCCATATAACCTGGTATTCCTGCAGAAAAGGCCTTAGGTAACCCCCAAATTCTCTCAGCTGAAAATCTGGAAGAACCGGTCTCAGACCAAGTTCCACCAACTCCTTCACGGCTGTTTGACTTTTTAGAAGACACGTAGTTCCTCTGAGACTTATGGTCGTTCATTTAATCTTTTTTTTTTTTTTTTTTTTTTTTTTTTTTAAGGCAGGGAGTGGAAGGCAATGATACTGCCAAATATAATTCTGTAGACGGTTATGGAAATAAAATTTGGCAATCATTGTGAAGCTACTCTGAACATGAAAGTATCCAGTTGAAGCATTAGTAACAGGGTCAGGTTATGGTATGGCGTGGGGTGGACTGTTGAAGCCTAGTTAAAGTTGGGGCCACTTTTCAAGTTGCCAAATGTGTCACCACTGCCAGAGTTAGTGAGATGTGTGTGAAATGGGATCCTGAGGGAGCGGAAACTATCAAAGGCATCTGCAAATCTAAAAAGGTGTCTCTTGTTCTGTAGATGAACATCAATGTGGGAGTAGCCTTGAATTTCATTGACTCGAGATGAATGTTTTGTTTTAAGCATTTTGCTTAACAGGGTGTGGAAATCTAAGTGCTAACATTCAGGCTGGAAGTTAACACCCTGGAAAGATGAATAGAAGAACTGCCAGTCTGTGAATACTACCTAACTTAGGGCTCTAAAACAAAAGCTGCCACTCATTTTCTTGCATCTAGAATTTCTTTCACAGCTCCAATCATAAAGACTTTTATTATGCTTCTTTTGCTTTTTTCTCGGAAACGCAAACTATAGATTCTGAGGTCACAGCTACCCAAGATGAAGGTAGATTCTGCATGTGGGAGTTTCTATTGATCTGCTTTTCAAGTTCAGTATGTTGTCCCTTATGTGATGGAGTCTCAGCAAGACCGAAATCCTTGTACACACACTGGCCTTGAATTCTTTCCCTTACGGGGTTACCCGAGATTCTCTATCCTAATGAATCAGACAAGAAACACCTTTCTTTTTTACAAACACTGTCATTCTATAAAGACTAATGATGAAAAATCCAAAGCTTCCCCAAGGTTCAGATGCCAGACTGAAGCCTGGCTGGAGGTGGTACTCTGGAAAGCTATTCCTACTTATTTCTGGTTCCCGCTAGAAAATACAATCGTCCTATTGCCATTGATACAAAATCTACACAAAAGATTTAGTCTATTTCAAGGTTAACCATTTTACTAACAGTTTCAATTCTGATAGAAGACTCTTTGTAGACTCTCCACCTGCAATCCGCAAGTCCTTCTACATTCAGGTGTTCTCCATTGAGGGAATGGAGCATATGAGAAAGAGAACTTGATTCTCTTGTTGATTATTCAAGAGTTGCTGGACAGCCTTGCTCCAGGCTCCTTAAGACCTGTACATTTGTAATTTAATAATCATGGGCAGTTTCCCTAAGGCTGTTATCTTTGCCAGAATTATTTCCATTTCTTTCTCAATCCTGTTGATTTTTTCCCCCCTTAAACTTTCCCAGATCAGTTCACAGATGGCCAACAGGCCCCAGGGACAGCCTCCCATTAATTCTGATCTGCAGCATTGCCCTCCTGAAAAGCAGTTGAGCAGAACTTTGAGGACCTCTGTTAAATGCCTTAGTAAAAATGTAGCCCCTAACCCTTATGCATTACTGGTGGGAATGGAAAATCTTATAGCCACTATAAAAAAAAAAGCCACAATATGGCAGTTCCTCAAAAAATTAAACATAGAAATCTGTCATCCAGCAATTCCACTTCTGGGTATATACCCAAAAGAATGGAAAGCAGGGATTTGAACAGATGTTTATACACCAGTGTTTATAGCAACATTATTCACAATAGTCAAAAGGTAGAAGCAACCAAAATGTCCATCGTCATCTCATCATCACACATCCGTATGAATGGATAAACAAAATGCGGTATACACACAGTCAGTGGGATACTGTTCGGCCTTAAAAAGGAAGGGAATTCTGACACATATCACAATGGGGTAAGCCTTGAAACGAAAGAAGCCAGACACAAAAGGACAAATCCCGCATGAGTCCACTTACACGGGATACCCGGAGTAGTCAGCAGTCATAAGACAGAAGGTAGAATGTGGTTGCCAGAGGCTGGAAGGTGGGAGGAGGGAGCGAGGAGTTGTTTAAAGGATACAGAGCTTCAGTTTGATGTGATGTAAAAGTTCTGGAGATGAACAGCAGAGATGGTTGCACACCAGTGTCAATGCATTTAATGCTGCCAAACTGTACGCTTGAAAGTGGGTGAAATGGTCAATTTTGTCCTGCGGATTTTACCACAAATTTTTAAGAGATAAAAAAAAAAATTACAGCCTCTAAAGTGTGGAGATAAGCCTAGAGACGGTCAGGTCATGAGTTGATGCCTCCCCTCCCCCGCCGTGGTCACTGTCACAGCGACTCTGTGGCTTTGTCTCCTCAGCATCGACTTGTCATCTTGCCCTGTCTCACCTTGGCTACTTGCCCACATTTCTTCTATGTCAGAATTACTTGTTTCCTTTCCCACCCCCTTCATCTTGTGCTTGACTTCATGTAACCTGGCAGGCGTTCCTCCCACCTGTAATCTCTTGTATGTGGTTTAGAGCCAACCTGAAACAATCTATCTGTTCTAGTCGACACTGAAGACACCCAGTCTGGAAGAAAATTACTGAAGTCAGTGGCCTCTTAAGTTTCCTTTTGGTTCTAATGTTAAAACAAAAACAAAACACACTGCCCTTACCACACTCTAAAATATCTTGTGGCCCAATGGTATTAATCTGGCAAAAAAAAAAAAAAAAAGTCACTCGCTCTTTTTTAGATTATAAAGCAACATTTATGACTAATACCTCGATTATGTTTCTTCCTTCCTGCTAGAACGCCCGCAGAGACCATCCTTGGGTTTCATTATGATATTACTTCTGCCTGCTCATGGTGAAAGAAAAATTGTAGAAAAATACTCACAAGCAAAGTAAAGAAGAAGATGGGGAATTGCTCATAATTCCTCAGAGATAAGCACAGAGATAAGCTCATAATAACTCAGAGATAAGTTAACACATCAGTGTATACTCCTCCAGGGTGTTTAATTGTTTAAGACCAAGAAGAAAGGACTTTCTGGAGTCAAGTAGCACATGAAAGGGAACACTGTGTGCCTAGAGCTCAGGGACATTTGAGAAGAGATATAAGACACGTACGTTTTCCCTGGCTTAGAAGAGGCCAAACCATAAACAATGTGATGCTTGGGGTCATATGTAGTTTATCTCCCCCTTTATTTGGCTTGAGTGTGAGGGCAAGGGCATGTAAGTTCTGCAGCGATGTTAATTTCCTCATGAGCTGAGGCATCCCTTCCTTGCTGGCTAAGGTGGGTGTCCTTAGGTATCTTTCTGTTGTATTGATCGGCTTAGAAACCAAGAACTGGAATGGACCCAAAAGGTCTCTATGTCCAAATTCTTTTCCTAGGAGAACTATATGTGAATTGTTTACAGCACTGGGCACCTTTTCCATCTGAAGCTGTCCTTAGTGTGAATTCCATAATGTCGCTCGGTTCCATATGAAATTCCTCTTACTGTCAAAAGTCTCAGTTTGTGTTCACTTGAGCCATTTTCACTTGTTCACTGGAGCCCTTTTCCTCACAGATATCTTCCGTGGGATGACTAATAAGAACTTTTGTTACCTGGAGCTACTAATCACTCCTCAGCTTTCTTTCTATGAGGCTGTGGAGACTGAACCATAGGAAATTGCCAATATTGGACCATTTTTTACCTACAGAAACAGCCATTTCAAGCTTCAACATACTAACTGGCCCTAACTCTCCACGGCTTCTTTCAGAGGTTCCTTATTTTTGATCTTTTGACAATGGAAGGGTTCCTCCCCAGTGGGATCTTCTCTGGTGTTCCCTACAGCCTCCTTAGAATATATATATCCTATATATATATATATTGATCTATATATACTGATCTATATATGCACCAAAATACTTGTTAATCTTGGAGGACTGATGAGATATAATTAAGCATTCCTACCTTTAAAAGTGTCACTTCAAAACATACATATAAATGCATATGTGTATCCTGTACATCATCTTGTGTATAATATAGTTGATAGTTTTCAAAATCAAGAACAAGCTAATGAGAGAAACCGGATGAATGCATCCATGTGTGAGCCCAGAACAGGAGGTGGTATGGGAAAAAGATGTATGAAAGAAGTAACCAGAACTGTGAAGTTGCCCTGACCAACCATGTGGCCCTCTGCTACTATAACACTTCATGACCAAAGAGATCCAATGCACTTATTTTTTCTTTCCTTCTCACCTTTAGCTCAGCCATAAATTTCCAGCAGTAATTCATATGGCACATCAAAAACCCAGACCTGCCCTGGAGAAGGTCACTCCACTGAAAAGGATCTACATTATTCAGCAGCCTCGAAAATGTTAAGCTGGAACGTAAAACACAGGCGTCTGGCCAACTGCCGCAAACATCTGACAGCTTAGCGAAAAGGACCAAAATGTTCCATAGGCCTAGTGCACTTGCTTGGTAAATAAAACAGCTTTTATATCTTCTCTTTTGACTTTAGATAATAAAGCATCCAAATTTATAAATCCAGTGCCTTCTTGGGCCTCATTTTGGTCCAGGTCAGGACCCTACAGATGCTTACATAGGTAATCCTGTGGAAAACTGGAGAATCCAGAACACTTCGGTATTCCACGCCCCCTCCCAGGTTAGGCCCTTTTCTCCTTGATGCTGACCCTGAGCTCTTCCACCCACAGTGAGTTCGCTCGCAAGGACAGAGGGGAGACGGGAACACTCTGAGCTGTGCAGAGGCCAATACTCTATGCAAACGTGAGGCGGGATTCTTCTCAGTATGTTTGTCCTAAGATGCTCCAGCTTTCACTTACGGTGAAATGTCGTTTCCGGCTCCCCACATAAATATGGAAGTTCGTTTTGAAGGTTTAGTGAGGGAAAATGAAAGCCTTAGGTTTGTTACAAACATATTGTCTTCTGTAAAGCTATCAAGGATGAAAGGTAGAATTACAGTTTCAGCAGAAGATTTGTTCAGGGCTTCCCACAAAGTTCATGCTCTTGAACCTGGGGGTGGGGGGTCATGATGCTGTAGGGCATTGTGATTAGGGTATAGATGTTGGTTTTATTTTTTTTAAAAGATTTTATTTATTTATTTGACAGAGGGAGAGAGATCACAAGTAGGCAGAGCAGCAGGCAGAGAGAGGAGGGGAAGCTGGCTCCCTGCTGAGGCAGAGACCCCGACGTGGGGCTCCATCCCAGGACCCTGAGATCATGACCCGAACTGAAGGCAGAGGCTTAACCCACGGGGCCACCCAGGCACCCTGTTTTTTGTTTTTTTTTTTAAATAAAGATTTTATTCGTTTATTTGTCAGATAGAGAGTGCACAAGCAGGGGGAGTGGCAGGCAGAGGGGGAGGGAAAAGCAGGCTCCCCGCTGAGCAAGGAGCCTGATGTGGGGCTCAATCCCAGGACCCTGGGATCATGACCTGAGCCAAAGGCAGAGGCTTTAACCAACTGAGCCACCCAGGCGCCCCTGATCTTCACTAGTTCTTCAACCTTAAACAAACTACTTAGCCTTTCTGATTCTTGTCAGATGGCCATAATGACACCAGACCCTCCCACCCCCAGTTTAACCTTCCCAGTGGCACACTAGGAAGAAGACAAAAGGGACACTGAGATTTGTAATAAGCCATTTTAAGAGTAGTGAGAGCATGGTAGTACCAGGATGACGGTTCTAGAAGCCGCCAGAGCTATAGCAGCAGGAGAACGATTAGAGATGGTATAACATGAATCTAGAATAGGAATTAAGGGAAAAGCTGAAGATTGGGGCCAGATGGAAGTGGGGAGTAAATGGGAGAGGATGATAAGGGAAATGGGAAGCTGGGATGGTGGCACTGATAGATTTGCCTCTCCCCGGGGTGGCAGGAGGGCCAACCACCCACAGAAAAGAAGAAGAAGAGAAGGATGCCATTCTCTCCCTCTAAGTTGGAAGGTGTATTGCAAGGGAAGAGAGACCGCTCAAAGGGAAACCGCTGTGCAGTCTGGAGCCCAGCATGGATTTTGGTCCACAGTTACAGTCACTCAAACCACCACATCACAGAAAGTAAGAAATTTGATGAGAACTTCAGATCTGAAAGGAATTGAAATTATCTCAGAGAATGTATAAGAGGAGGGGCACCTGGGTGGCTCAGTCATTAAGCGTCTGCCTTCGGCTTAGGTCATGATCCCAGGGTCTTGGGATCAAGCCCCACATCGGGCTCCCTGCTTGGTGGGGGCTTCACCCCCTCCCACTTCACCCTCTCCCACTTCCCCCTGCTTGTGTTCCCTCTCTTGTTGTGTCTCTTTCTGTCAGATAAATAAATAAGACCTTTAAAAAAAGAGAGAGAGAGAGAATGTATAAGAGGAAAAGGGCCAGGCCAATAAAAGCACTTTGTGGTGATATGGCTGCCTATGTAGAAAGCCAAAGGGGCTATTCCCTCTCCCTCCCTCTCAAGCCCTGCATGGATGTGCTGTGGCTCCACTCAGTTAGAAGCCCCTGGGATACGTTCACAGGCCCAGCAAAAGCCATGACAGTGACGGAGGCCTGTGTCAGAAAGTGCGAGGCTGGGGATTGTCGGGCAGACACTTTTCTTCAGCTCTTTCCAATTCAGTTCAAGCCACTCTGTGTTAGGCACTGGGACACAAAGGTGAATAAGAAGTTGCCCCTGCCTTCCACGAAATTCTAGACCAAAGGAAAATAGGCATGCCAGCAAATCCATATGGAAGAGAGCTTAGAAATGGCTTGACGGTGGGGCATGCTGGGGAGGTGGTCACGTACAGTAAAAAAAAAAAATGTGTTGGCTATGGAGATCACTAACCCACATACAGATCTTTAATAAACAGTCTTTAGTTAAGGATTTTATTATGGAGATTGTCAAACATGCAAAAGTTGAGTGAATATTATACTGAACCCTCATGTACTCGTCACAGAGCTTCAACAATGTGGCCAGTCTTGTTGAATCTAGAGCATCCAGCCCTCAACTTCTCCCTCTATCCCTCTCCTTCTGGATTCTTTTAGAGCAAATCCCAAGCATAATTTCATGTAGAAATACTTCAGTATGTTACCTCCAAGAGATTAACACTCATGTGTACACACCCTCTCTCTCTGTAAACTAAATTTTACAAATATTGTGACGCAAAAGGGAGTTTTATGTAAACAATCCAAGAATCTTTCACAGTAAAAGCAAGACTGGCATTGTTATGCGCAGAGCCACAAGAGCCAGAAACAAGTACACACGCGTGTGCACATATGCACACGCAGCTGGGCCAGTAGTGCCCACACAAACAACTGCTGTAAAGTTGGAGAAGGCGGTGAGGGATGGAACTTCAGAAAGGGAGGTGGAAAATGCAGATCGTTTTCAGGTTGAAGATAAGAAACGGGTAAACAAAGTTGGTGGGAGCAAACGAGTAAACAAGAGGCACAGGCAGAAACCACCAGGGAAAATTAGTCCTCGATAAGGAAAAGAATATAGAAAACACAGAAAAATAGCTACTTCTGAAGTTACTCAAAGGAATAATGGGGTGACAGGCTTGCGTTAGATGGAATCCAAGTCTGAGGAGGATATGGCTGGCTTTGGGTGCCTATTGTGTTTTCAAGTGAGTGTCTGGATGTCACTGGAGTGACCATCCCCTTCAAACAGATCAGATGAGTTCAAGCCCCCATCCTCCCCCACATGGATGCTCAAAGCCCTGCCACAATGTCTGTGAATCGCCAGGGGGTTATTATGGTCACCTCTGACTTCCAGTGAATTTGCTGTCCCTGAGTCCCGCCATCCTGATCTCATCTTGGGATTCAGCCCTTTTCCATAATTTTCCCAAAAGCCTACTGCAGAGGGTGATTAGCTTACCAAAGATTTAGCAGAGTTTATATCACAGGAACCAGAAAACCTGCAGTAGAATATTAGATTTCCCAGATTTTATGTGTATGACCTTCTATTACTTCCCACTCCCTCCAGCCCACGATTTTGTTCATTGCTCATTGTACCCCTGGCAATCTTCTATTCCTCCCACCATCTTGCTGATGGCTTCTCCCCTCCCACCCCCCGTTCCTCACTCTCCTACTCTTCCCTTCCTCCTGATTTCTGTTCAGTTCCATGTCAACAATTAGTACTTCTCATGTTGCCCTGATTCCTGGAAAACACATCCTGTGGGGGTCACCTTATCCCCAAATAATCGCCCTGCTCCCACCAAGTCTCACATCAACTGTCAGGATGTCAACGTTTTCATCCAAATATGAAGGAATGGCTGAGTAATTGATTGACTAATTAATTCATTAGAAAGACTGAAGTGACTGAGAACTTGAGCCAAGAAAAATGAGCCAAAGGAAAAAGTGGAGAACTTCCAAAGGAAATGTTGAAGGACTAAAAAAAAAACACATGAAATTAGGGTGAACAGAGCTTCAGCTAAAAATATAGAATCCACGTAGAATTTTGAACCTGCTTTTGCATACAGTATTTCATGAACTCTTCACAAGAATCACAAGATGGTAGCTGTCATTATCCCATTTTGCAGATGACAAACATGAGCCTCAGGGAAGTTAAGAGATTCCAAGGTTTTGTAGTTTAAGTGGAGGAATTTCTCTGGGAATCTCTTAATCGCAAACTACAGCTGTCTCTGTGACCCCATGAGAACACAGGCTGGAACTAACGCTTAGGAGTCTCCAAACAGAGAGGATCTGGATGTAATTCTGACTTTAAAAATAGAGCTGCATTTGGAGAGAGAAATCTGTGTGAACAGATTGGTTTAGGACTAATCAAATCCCTCAATAGGGGAAGAGCCATTCAAGTTCAGATTTTCAGGTTTTTGTTTAAAAGACACAATGTGGGGTGCCTGGGTGGCTCAGTGGGTTAAAGCCTCTGCCTTCGGCTCAGGTCATGGTCCCAGGGTCCTGGGATCAAGGCCCGCATCGGGCTCTCTGCTTGGCGGGGAGCCTGCTTCCTCCTCTCTCTCT